TTTTTTTTCTTTTTTTTTTTTTTTTTTTTTTTTTTAAAAGAGAAAGCCGAGAATAAAATTGTAGGAATGATAAACTGATCAGTGACTTCCAGGCCTTGGGAGTGGAGGAAGTCTTGACTAACAGGGGAAGCAGGAGGAAACGCTATTATTGATGATATACCTATGACAAGAAGATTGTCTGTTCATGAAACATTTTTCCTAGTATATGGAAATAAAAAGCATGAGTTTTATAGTATATAAATAAAGAATACAGCAATGAATGTTTACCAAATATCATGAAAATAATTGCTTTATAATTCATTTCTAGTTGGCTATACTTCAAAATAATTCTAATGAAATAGTACTGAATGCAATATACATATTCTCATTGTAAACTTGCTCTTTGGGGTATTTTAACTTTAAAATTTTATTAATTTTTTTGTGTGCATATTGTGCATTGTGTGAATAAAATATGTGTGCTTTGCATATAATATAGGTGTAATGCAAGCAGGTACATGTGTAAGTGAGCTTGCAGTCAGTCATTTCTAGGCCAAAGCAAGAGTTTGTTCATCTATTACTCTCCATCTTAATGTCTAGACAGGGTCTCTCACTGAAAAAGAGCCTTACTCTTTCTCCTGTTCTGGCTGGCCAGTGAATACTTGGGATCACTTGTGTCCTTTCCACCAGTTGATACTGGAGTCTCAAGCATGTCTAACAATTTGTTTCTTTGTATTCTTTCTGTTTTACTTTATTAATCAGTTTGTTTTGTATATGCACATGTGTATCTCTCTGTGTATGTATGGATGTATAATGGGAACTCAAATTCTAGTACTCATATGGCATTTGCAAGGGATTTTACTGACTAAAACTTTTACCCAGACTATGGAATATTTTTGATATAGGGATCAGATTTAAAACATACTTTTATAAATAGTAGAAAATACTAAACTGATTAATCATGTGCAAAAGAACCAGATATTCTATCATATAGTCCTATAAAAAAGAACATAAAATTGGTTTATTTGCAAAGCACATAACAAAAAATCTAAGTTAGAGTTTTATAGGATGTAGATGTATTATTAAGTAAGAAACACAGAGCCAAATGCAGAGTTAAAAGCCCAAGAGGTCAGAGTAGTAGCTAAGAGCTGATACTAAAAATCCTTTCTTATCCTTTGCTGCCACTGTCGTCCTTCCCCTCAGCAAGAGACCTACTTCCTGTGTATCTGTCTTTTTATTGACTTTTTGTTCTGCCTTCTCATTGGTTGTAAAGCCAACTACATGACCTCCTCATCACTGCCTGTCTATACAGACCTCCAGGTCTTCTATGGTTGGTATTGAGATTAAAGGTGTGTGTCTCTATGCTGGCTGTATCCTTGAACACACAGAGATATGTCTGTCATGTGATCTGGATTAAAGTCGTGCACCACCACTGCTGCCTTCTGCTATGGCTGCTATTAGCTCTCACACCCAGGAAACTTTATTTATTAACATATAAATAAAATCACATTTCAATACATATAAAATATCACCATATTTTCCATTTTCTATTTTAATAAAAAGAAAAGAGGAAAAAAGTTATAACTAATATAAGAAAAACTATATAAAAAGGAACAATAACTATATACCATATATATTCATGGTACAAATTCACAAAAAAAGCCACTTGCCTGTGGCCATGTGGGCCCCAGCTCAGACCCAAGCTACATGTTGCCAGTTGTGGTGGCACACTGGTTGGATTTACTGAAGGAGGCAGAAGCATGAAGATAATAAGTTTGAGGCCGGCCTGGGAGGCTTTCTAAGAAGAAGCTGTGGCCAGGGCCAAGCAACAAGCGGTGGTGGGACCATGGAGGCAGAGACTGCTGCTCCAAGTTGCTGGCTCCTTCTCTTGGTGTTGGTGATGCTCCTACCTGGGACAAAGGGTTTACTGTTGCTCATTCAGAGAAGAATTGACAGGACCATTGTGTTACAAGAAAGCATTGGCAAAGGTCAGTTTGGAAAAGTTTGGCAAGACAAATGGTGGGGAGAAATTGCTGTGAAGATTTTCTCTTCTAGGGAAGAATGTTCATGGTTCCAAGAGACAGACATTTATGAGACTGTGATTGCTCCAAACCACAGAGGAAACAAAGAAACAAAAAAAAAAAAGTCTTCAGTGAACCATGACCACCCCTAACAATGATTTTGAAATTTTCAAAAAGATGACAGGATCCCACATGGACTATGGTAAACCATTAAACTGATTAACACTATGAAAAGATCAACTCTGGACTACAAACTACTCAAGACAATTTTGAGATGGCTAGCTGAGATGATCCAGCCTGACAGGCTACTTGAACAAGGACTTGAAAAAAGCCCTGCACTTTCTCATTATACAGCAATTGGACAAATGATACAGGACTTAGCAATTAACCCAAAAATTTTCTTTTCAGGATTCCCTAAAGATGTCTTCACCCCCAGAAACCAGGAAGTAATTTTAAGAAAACTATGCCCATATTCCCAAGAGGTGGGATGGGTGTTTTCTGATCATTCAATGGCTTATGGATAATTGTCATTGTTTACAATGGTTAGTTACAAGTTGTTAATTTTTTTTTTTTTTAAAGTTGGAGTTTTTTTTTTAAGATTTATTTATTTATTTATTTATTTATTTATTTATTTATTTATTTATTTATTTATTTATTTATTATGTATACAGCATATGTGACTGCTGGCCAGAAGAGGACACCAGATCTCATTACAGATGATTGTGAGCCACCATGTGGTTGCTGGGAATTGAACTCAGGACCTCTGGAAGAGCAGTCCGTGCTTTTAACCGCTGAGCCATCTCTCCAGCCCCCACAAGTTGTTAATTGTTAATGTTCAGGAAAAAAACTGAACAAGGAGATTAGATTCAGAGTTTTTGTTTAAAAAAAAAGAAAGAAAAAAGAGAATATAGATATAAGGTAGATCATTGAATTTACTCTGAGAAAAAAGATAAAGAAATAAGAGGATAAATGGGTAAATCACTGAATCTACTCTAAAAAGAAAAAGGAGAAGATATAAAAACAATAAAAAGTAGATTACTGAATCTATTATGAAAAGGAAAAAAATGCTTTTAAAAAGGAACTGCTTGTTTTAAACAGGATAAGTAATGAAAATTTTTGTCTGAGTTTATCAAATGTTACTGGATTGGACATTTGGAGTTTTTTGTCTGAATCTGTCAAATGTTAATGGACTAGACATTGTTAATGTAATTTTTGACTATATATATTGTGTATTGTGGTGGTGTTCTAATTGTACTGAAATGTGATTTTCATTGTATGTTAATAAATAAAGTTTCCCGGGGGTCAGAGCTATTAGAGCCATAGACAGAGTGTGGTGGTGGTGGCACATGCCTTTAATCCCATAGATCTCTATGTGTTCAGGGATACAGCCAGCATTGGAGACATAT